AAAATTACAATTTTTTAATGTAAATTGTGCTTTTGATTTTCTTATGATATTCAATTTATCATTTTTGTTTCTCAATTTTTAGTTATTTAATTTTAGTCTCTCAATTTTATAAAATTTATAATTTTAATTTTATTAATAAAGATAATTTTAATTTTATTAATAAATATTATCTATTAACTATTAAAATTATAACATTGATTATGAATTTATATATTAAGTAGATGATTAGATAATTAATATTTAATGATATTTAGATTAAATTATACATTAAATTTTCATTTTTATCCTAATTTTATTATTATTTTTATAAGATAAAAATAAAAATTCAAAGTATATTTTAGTTTAATTATTATATCATTTAGATATTTTTAATGTTATAAGTTATAACTTCAAAAGATAATGAACAACCATTTAGTAGTGAGATAAAAATTGTAAAGTTTATAGAATTAGAATAAATTTATAAAATTATAAGTTAGGGAAACAAAATCGCAGATTAAATATTATAGGGATAAAAAGTAAAATTTATCTTTTATTTTAATATTTAATTTAAGAAAAAAGTTAAAAATGAAACGATATAGTATAATATTTTTGATAATGTGACAATTAATGAGATGAATTTTTTTTAATAACGTTACATTTTTATGACAAAATACTAGACATGCCAATAGGCGGAACAAATGTGAGTTTTGCTTTTAGTTCTCATCTTTGTCCTCATAAAAGGCCAGCGAGTTCTGATTTGGATAAACTCATAGGGAAATCTTAGTATTTTTTATAATTTTAATTTAGTTTGCAAATTTTAAATATTTTAAAGATGGCCGGAAGTGACAAGCAGCTGTGAGAAGCACCTCTCACCACAAAGGCTATTACTTGGGAGATATAGCACCTTTACGTGCCTTACTACTTTGATTATTGTCAAATACTAATTATCATAGAAGCTTAAGTTATTAGGTGGAGGTCAAGCATAGGACAAGTGTACATATCCAAAACCATAAAAAAATGACGCGCAAGTAAACGCATCAAGAAAACTGGAACAGAGAAACTGGTTATAGATAAATTAAATAAAGAGGCCAATTTACCAGCAAAAATTGTAAACACATCAACATAGTTTCATCACACACCGTGTATGGTGTTGTGAAGAGCAATAAACAGCAAACAGAAAAACATACCCAGTTTTTGATGATGCAGAGCTGTCTGCCTTTGTCTGCAAACAACCCAGAAGCTAATCAGAAACATGAAAAACTGAAAACAAACACCACCCCATGAATCCTAAATGAAACTACAAACAAAGAGCAAATATCCACTTCAGTCCCTGAATTTGGAAGGCGTATCATATCAGTTCTTAAAACTAAGAAATTATAAAATTAGTCCCTTAGATGTTTTATATTATATATATCAACATTGTCATTTTACTTATACTATTTTTTTTTATTCTTGAACTAATATAATTGTAAATTTTCGATTTCAGAGACTAATTTTACAAGTTCTTAATTTCGAGGACTAATATAACGATGCCTTACAAATTCAATGACCAGAGTCTTTGTTTCCTCTACAAATAAAACATGGGATTGAAAGTTGAAACAAACAACTTACTGCAACTGCATTAGTAAGCAGGCTCTGAGTCTGAGGCTTATGAGCTCCCATGTGGAGGAATTGGTTCATCCTGGCATCAGATCTGACAACCCACATTTGTCCCTTCCTCTCTGAATCGCCGAAACAAAAGAAACAACGTTAGAGTCAACACTGATGAAGGAAAAAAAAAAGTGTTGGGAATTCGAGAAATGAAGGAACCTGAGAGGGAGTGGAAGTGGAGTTTGTTGGTGGTGGCGGCGAAGGCGGTGGCAGCCTGGAAAAGGGTCGCCATCGAATGAAGGAATGGGCGAAGAGATCGAAGCAACGAAACGAAGAGATATAGAGAGAAAGGGTTCCGATGAAAAATATAAATAACGAGTGTGTGAGAACACAAAGACACACAACGGCGGAGAAACCGAGGAAAAAAGTTTAGTTTGTGAGTTGGGTGTCTACGTGTTTACGTTGCTATCATAGCCTTCAGCGATGCAATTTATTTCGCCTCCATTTTGTTCTTTTATACCAACATTTATGGGGCAATTCATTCATGCTTTGTTTCGATTTAGAAACAAGTAGACACAAAACAATTTTGCTCTTGTACAATTTGGACAACAAATTTTGAAATTATAACTTGGCACCAACTACCCAAATCCATCAGAGAAAAGGAAATGAAATTAAAAAAAAATAAATTGAGTTTGTTTAAATAAGGATGAAAAAAATAACAAAAGTCAAGTTTCACCTTAAATAAGATTTTGAATACAAGTCTGAAAAATAAAATCTTTATTAAAAGAGTTAGTCTCATTAAATATAATAAGCCACAAGCTTACATTGTCATCATACATGCATGTTATTCCACTTTATTGCATCTAGAGCACAGGTACTCAGGTAAGCCTCTGATGCAAGCATACAAGCTAAGAGGGTTTATAGAACTCTAAAAGAACTGGAAGTAAGCCTCAAAAAGTAAAAAGTATTTTCTAATTCAGTTGTTTCTTTAATAAATCATTTTATGCATTGTTCTCTCAAACCCATTGAAGCCTCTCTGTTAAAAGTAGATTATTCTTATTAAAGCTAAGAAGAGAAAAAAAAAAAAAAAGTTTAGTTTACACGCTAATTTGTATATTATCAAGAATCGCGACTCAGGATAGCAAACTCATGCAAGCAATATATTTAGAACAGCAAAATTGTAATGTAAACCATAAAATTAAAATCAAGATTGGTTTTACACACCAAAACCGACAGTCAGAAAAGCTTGTTATAATGTACAAAATACCTGATAGTAAGTTCTTAATGTCAAATTTGGTGAGCGAAACCGAATCCAACACTAGAGGAGGCCAAGGAAGACGAACTCTTCCAACTCATGAGTAGACCATCATTATCTGAAAAGAGATAACGGTTTTTTTACAGACATTGTTGCATGATGTGAAAATATAACAACCATTGAAATTTGACCTTACATTATGCATAAAACCAGAAGCCAATGCTTGGTGTCCAGTGTCCAAGTGAGATTATCAAATGAAAAATGGTACTACATATTATCATTAAAAATCCTAATTTATTTCTTACCAAAGTTAACCTTATATATATTTTGAAAGTCTAGAGCTTACATTATGTAGACATTAGTGGTTGCTGTTCAAGTGAGACTAAATTCACTACAGCAGACAATTACCTGTTTTCAAATGAAAACTGCTGGCGCATCTTATCTTTAAAAATCCAAAAATTTGTAACAAAAGTAGCCTTTTGTGTGAGCTTTCTAACTCAACTGATCCCATGTCATTTGAAATATAATTAAGGTCATTCAATTTGATTAGATACATCGAACTATTGTAAAATTCAATCAATATTAATTTAAGTTTAATTTACATTGATAGAGAAAAAAATATGTAGATTTATATAAATCTAATATAATATTGTACCGACATAGAATATATAGGCAATTTTGACACTTTCAATCCTCATATAATAAGTTTTTTAACTTCATAGTCTATGTTTTTCATATCTTTATACTTTTCATTACAACTTATTCAAAGAGTCTAATACAAACACTATTTTTATCTCTAATGTCGAGACAAATTGTTCTCGGGCTTGTTCTCGGGCATACTTGACTAAGAAAGTAAGAAAATGATACTTGTAAAAGACATTTCAAAACTCAAGTCTCGATCTCACACTGACCAATGCAATAAATATTGTAATAAATGCAAAAGTATCTTTTTCTTCATCATATGTCACTATTTATACTAATCTTATTGAGCCTAAACCTTGATGGTAAACCTAATAATACCTAATTACCTTTAACAATACTTTTTAATTATTTATAGATTTTTCTGATTCTTAATTTAAACTGAAGGGTATTCGATTTTACCTTTCCACCAAAAGCTCTCCTGGTATACAAACCCCCAAGCTTTCGAGATTTTTAATTTTAAATTAAATTAAAAATTAAAGAAAACCTAAGAGATTTTTTTTACTCTTGATAATTCCATTAATCTTTCTAATAGCGTTATTAAAATGACTATTTTCCAAGTATTGAGATAACAAATAAAGATCGTACGTATGTAAAGACTAACATGTAAAAATATTAAAAATATGAGAACTAAAATGTAAATAACAATACAAACACACTAGTTAGTGACATGTCTTCGTTAATAACATTAGCTTTTTTAGTGATAAAAACTAAAAGGAATTAAAAATATTTGTAAATGTTTTTTATAGAGATTAAAAGTAAAATTTACACACGATAAAACTTAAGAACCCAATAAGTAATTAAATATTAATATTATTATATCATTGACTAAAATTTATTATAATAGAATTTAGATGCTTATTAAAATTTTGAGTTTAAATATGTTTTAGTTTTTATAAAATGAGTTAGTTTTTTATTTTAGTTTTTGTATTTTTTTTATTCTTCTAAAATTTATAACATTATTTTTTATTTACATAAAATGAATGAATTTTGATTTTACTTTTTGTAAAATATATTTTTTAATTTTTATTTTTATAAAATTTTTAAAATTATTACTTTTGACCTAATGACCATTTTAAGGTACACATATAAATATATAATAATTATTTTTAAGAATTTATACAATTAAAAATGTCAGATGTACATAAAATATTACAGATAATTATAAATATTAGCTATGATTAGGTGCTTTCCTAATGCACATAAATAGTGAAAAAAAGTCACACAATTATAAGAACTAAAATAAAAATTTTCAATTATAGAGATAAAAAAATTAAAATAAAAAAATGTTAATTTTTCAAGAACATAAAAATATATTTAATCATAAAATTTATAGTTTTTAATAAATTATAAATATAATAAAAAGACAATAAAATATGCTAAAAAGGGATTGTGGCAGAAGATAAATATGCACATTTTATAAAACAAAATTGATAACCAACTTGGTGGCAATTGGTGTAAACTAGAGTGTTACTTAAAAGTAGAAACTTGAGAATCAGAGGGAATTTTAAAAAAAATAAATAATGGAATTATTTTATCTTGTTTGCTCAATCGTCTCCACTTCCTTCACCTCTCTTCTTCTCTCCCTTATCCTTCCCTTTCACGCTCTACTGCCACGGCGGGGATCCTCACGCGCCGCCTCTTCCGTCTCCAATGACGAAGCTGAACCCATATCTCTCTACGAAGGCACCGTGTGGCACCAACGTCGCCACCCCGTCAACCATTCCTTCCATTACCGGGTTCGCTACGCGCTCATTGACCTCGACCGTGCACCTCACGCGCCTCGGGACCATCTCTCTCCCCATGAAGCTCGCCAAATTACCCATACCAATGGACCCATGTAATTCATCTTCTTTATTTTTTTTTTTAAATTTTTGCCCATTGGGTTCTGTCAGAGCCCTGCAAAATTTCAACTTGACGTTTCAATTTCGTTTTCAGTGACTGTTAGCCAATGGTTATAAATTTAGTAAAAGAAAATAAAAAGATAAAATGAAGCATAAGCTATAGTCATATACTGCTGTGATTTGGAGGAGTTAGATGAAAGTTATGGGAAAATTTGATTTTAACTTAAAAAAGTTTTAAAAAAAAAATCTAGGCTATTTAAAGAAGAAATTTATCCAAACGCGACATAAGATGATTTCTTTTTCTCTGTTTTGAAGTTTTGATTTACAATTTCTTCTTGTTGAACCCAATTCTGCAGTTTGCTCTTGACAATCCCTCCTAGTGTGGGTTATGAACAGAATCCTTTGAGTGTGTATTATTGCTATTCTGTTGAAGGTTCTACTAGACGATTGATGAAGTGCATTGCTGAGGTATGTGACAGAAGCTCTCTTTTCTTAGTTTCTGTGACTTGTCTAATTTATGCTTCATTCCTGACTCAAGTCATTAGTGGGTAATCTTTTCTCACCATAAACTCCATTCAACTCGGACCAGTTAGAATTAGCCCTATAGATTTTTTGTGCTTTTCTTTTTGGCATTAAGTAATTGACAGCATTTTAACAGCTTTGATTTCTTTCAAGGATTCTCTTTGTTGAATCAGATTTTTTTTTGGGGTGAGGGGAATTATGTATTTTGAACGTCTAATGTTTGATAAATGAAGAACGTTAATGTGTTTTTCTAATTCTATTAATAATGTCCCCAATTAGAATATTAGGAATCTCATGAAAAGGTTGTGCGAAGGTATAGTTGTATACCTGTCAGATAGAATGCTTTGCACCTTTTTTTTTGTGCTGACCTTACTGCTGATTTTTTTTGTTTCAGGTAACAAATACACCATGGGGTGAAAGAGTATCTTTTGTGTTCAATCCACACTCTGATCTAGTAGCCAAGGCTTTGCATGTCAGTCCTTTTATGGTATGTAAACTATACCTTTTGCTTTGCAGCATTTAGGACATTATGGTTCATAAAATTGACTATTATGTATTGACATGGCACTACAAGTTAATTAACCAATGTTTGGACTTTGGACTTTGGTCAGTTGATAAACTTGTTTGTTTTTGGACGTCTTGTTTTCTCCTATTCGTGTGCCCAAAGTTGCTTGAAATAATGTTTGCCTATTGAGGTTTGGGAAGTTGCAGAAAAGGATTTGTTATTTGGCAGTCTGCTATATACTAACATTTGGTTTTGGTTGCTGTGTGATTGCCATTTATGTAAGGGGAAATCTCTCTTAGGCCTACTATGGGATAAAATTATTCTTGAGATTGTTAAGAATAAAGTTATGGTTATTGGGATGAATCCATATCATAATTCACTATCTGATATATTTTCATTTCAATGTAAATAAATACAGTCATTCTCAGAATATATAGAGTAAATATAGTATTATTTACTAAGTTAGTGGAATAAAACTGGAACAAAATAATGGTAATGAAGAATTGAAGACTCTGGATTAATATGGATTTTTTTTCTATATATACCACAATGTCGTTTAGATATCATGGTTTGCCTCAGATACTTTATCTACATTGTTAAATTTAATTTATAAGATAATCACAATAAATTTAAATGCTTTTTTTCGCATTGTATTAATAAGCATCTCCCTGAGCTGTGTTAGGATATGCACGGGAGTTGGAATATCAAAGCAAATGATCCTGGAGAGAATCTTACAATATCAATTTCAGTTCATCATCCTGATCATGGAAACTATTTTACTGCCAGTTTGAAAGCTAAAAGGCTGTGCTCATCCACCGAGTCAGATCATGCAGTTTTCTTTTGGTTGATGCCTCATAAAGTTGCAGTATGGATATATTGGCATGTAAGCTATTTTTTGCTATACTTTCCTCTTACTGTGTTTTTATATGATAAATATTTAGTGCGAATGCTGTCAGACTAATATAAGTTTTCTTTGGCAAGCAATTTAAGGGGCTTGAACTTGTAATGACTGAAATTTGAAGTGTGATTGGAACTGAAATTTACTAAAGAGACGAGCTCCTTCCAATCAATCCATGTCTTTTATATGTGCTCAAAAACCATAGTTTTGTGCGGGATATTACTAAATTATTTGCTTGGTTTATTGAAAGAGAAAAATTAGCAACATACTCTACTGTTAGCTGAAATTTATTTGAAAATTCATAAATTTTGTGGGTCTTATTTTTTATTTAATAAGTCTCTCTGCTGATTTTGTAGTTTTGGATAAATTTCAATTAATAGTAGAGTGTGTTAGAAAGAGTATATTATTAGTACTCCTTTTATTTAAATGAGCACGTCACCTTTTGAACATCATAAATCTGTTTATGGTTTCATTTGATTTATTTTTATACTGTGTGCAATATGGTCATCCTCTTAATCTTGTTTTCTGCAGGCTGTAAAACTCTGGTGGAAAAATGTACGATTTGTCCAACACCCTAAATATAGCGATCCAACATACAGGGAGGAAGCTTTGATACGGGATAATAAACTGCAGTGTTGTGGATTGAGTGATGATAATAGACATCTGCAACAAAGAGGAAGTGACCAGGGTTGTTTAGCTGAAGTAAGTTCCGAAAACCGGTGGTTTAGATGGAGAGATGCTAAGTGGCCATGGTCATAGAAAATGGTAATCATATCTTTTTTCCATTTTGGGAGGTTGTTTTCATGTGACTGTAAAACATTCACAAAAAAGGGTAATGACGATAAACTACTTGACCTTGTACACTGGGCTGTACCTCACTAGTTATGGTCTTTGAAATATGTCATGATTACCTTGATTTCTCAACTATTACTCATTAGTTAATAGGGAAATGATAGATTGGACTAAAACATCTGCAGAAATCATTCGGAATAATTAAAATATTAATTTAAATTGTAAAATATTAAATTAAATATTTATTTTATAATAAATTTATTAAAAAATATTAATATTTTAATGTTTCGAACGACGATTCGAATCTCGATTCCGAAAGTCTAATATCGCTCTAGTTAATAACATACTTTGACTATCACAACAATGGTTATTACTATCAAGGATTTGACATGAAAAGCTTGGTCATCCTCTTAGAATTTGAATATGGATTTATAGTATTTTTAATTAATGTAAAACTTTGATTTTTCCCGATATTTTCTTTCACCCTGAAGTATTGTTTCCATCCTCATGTAGAGAAAGTTGGGTTTTCGGTTTGAAAATTGCGAAGCAATGTTGGTGGTCAGAGGATTGCTGGAAGTTTTTATGGATGAACCAACAACAACGAAAGCTATCGTCGTTCATAGTGATATATCAAGAACCTGCTCTAAAATCATTTTTACCGTTAGTAATTCTGTCATGGACCTTGAGGAAGAAGATGTTGGCTTGTTCTGTTTACAAAATTTAATTCAATTAAGTTGCATTAAATAGGCTTGGCTAAAAGTTTACTCCTATATAATAAGGCAAATAATTAGAATTATAACTCCATTTCTGCAAGTATTTTGGGATCACGGGCAAGAATGTTTCACGTTGGAAAAAGGCTCCATTAGTCAATGACAGCTAAGAATCTTTCAATTTAATGAGCTAACTTATAAGTTTTAAGTTTTTCAGATCTTATTTAAAACTTAAATTTTTGAGTAGTTTATAAATTAATTTAACTAAATATACCCTAAAAATGTAGATATTAATGACAATAAAAAAACGCTGGCAATGATGAAAATTAAGCCGTTAGTAATTTTTAATGCTCATTTTGTTGAAACTATTATGCAATAGTTAAATTTATAATTATGATTTTTTAAGTATATGTTGAATTTTCAATCCTCAATTTATGTGTATGAAAAATATTTATAGTTTTTAAAAATTTAAATAAATCTTTAAATTTTGAGAGATTAATTTCTTATTTTTAACTTGAAAGTATTAGAAAAATTCTAAGTTTCATATCGACTAGAGATTAGACAATTAAATAGTATATAAGTGGAGAATAATCTTCACCTTATTAGTCAATTTTGTAGAATTGAGTTAAACTCATTCATTATTCTAAGATGGTATCAGAACTATCCTAAATCATTAAATAATGATCACTTATTATTTATCCATGTACCAAATTCAATAAAAAATTTATTTTAAAAGTCGATTTTAAATTAAGTTCAAATCTATAAGAAAAAAATATAAAAATAAAACAAAATTAATTTCATAAAATTATCTTGCTATACACATCATATGCATGTATATGATAATTTCCATGCAATAACATGCAAGAAGTGAAAAGAAGGGAAATAAAAACATGTCCAAATTCTTACAAAGGCAAGTGCAATCAAATGGCCTAATTAACTTTGTGGAATTCAAAAACAGAAAACAAAATTAGGTTGAACTCTGCACGAAGGATCCGGGAACGTTGTAGTTTGTTCTTTCTGTCTCCTTTCTAGATTTATTGTATATAGATCACATATGACAGTCGTCAGTCTGAAATCTCATGGTTACTCACATACAATAGGAATAGAATATATATATGGAGGAAAAAGAAGATACATGTAAATGTTAAAGGATAAAAATACTATTTAACACATTTTTTATACACCACCAACACTAGAGAGAGAAGCAGGCGTCACATTAATTAAACACTAGTAATTGGATTTTAAACGAGTTCATGTCAAATTGGTCCAATTAATTATAATATTTATTTTCAATTTATAAAGTTAGTTAACCATAATACCAAGCATATTTGTATCAAATGGTGTGAGTTGGTGGGTTGGTGCTGCCTTCCACTTGCAATGAGTTCCTACAAATCAAAATAGGGCAGTATTTGACAAAGGCTCCATTGGAGAGAATCACGTGCATTACTTTTGTGGTGGCATTAGTCTACTCTGAACTCTGAAGTCGATCGTAGGGACACTATTCCTAACATGTGATCAACATTATCTTTGTGTTTTGTTTTTTTTGTTTTGCTCTTTTCCTTTTTGGGGTGAACATAGGTCCAAATTCCAATGTTGTCTTATCATTGTGTCATGGGCGTGTGCCACTGCCACCTCTTCATAATATTGCAAGTCGGCATGGCCTCCTACCCAACCATAATCAAGAAAGAAAAAAGAGCTACTTAATAAATTTGATTTTTTTTTTTTTTACATAACAAGTTTAATAGTTAATGAATTCTGATGTTTGAAGCATATACGTGCAAATTTAGTCATGTATATGATTTTACCCAAAATAAAAAATTAAAAATACAAAAGATTGTATAATACTACTACAAATTACATGTTTTGAATATCCTTTAAGCATAAAAAAAAATTGTCTTCAAGCGATTGATAGTCACACAAATACATTATCTAATGATATAAATTTGAGTCGACTGCTTTTTTTTTCTTTTTTTTTAAATCAAGAAATCCTGCAAGTGTAATGCTAATCAATCACATCTGAATAAAAAAGCTGATTGAAAGTTTAAAAATAATTTGATTAAATGAATTCCTTTTATTATATATATTATCAACAAACCCCAAGTTTTAAACTTTGTTAAATCTAAATATCCAATAAATTTATTTGTTTATTTTTAACCAACATATCATTCTTAATCGCCTATATGACCTATATCACAAAAAGCCAAATCACCTTCTATCCTTCTTTATCACATCCACAATCACTTAAAAGCCTCATAAATTGTTGAAATTGACAATCATTAAGAAAAACTGTTTTACACTCTATTCATAATAAGTATAAAAACTATACCTTTAAAAACTAAAAGCACTCGTGAATAAAGAACTTCAAACTGAAACTTTATTCTAATAAAAAAAGAGTAACTTTTATATTTATGGTGAGCAGTTGCGATTTTTTTTTTTTTTTTGCGTATAACATATTTTAAAATTTTTCATTTCTATTTATAAAATATAATAAACTTAAATAAATAAAAATAAATAATCCGAATTTTCTTCTAAAATATATGTACTTATAGTCACATTAGTATATTCTGTTTGGCTTCTAAACATAACTAATATTTTAACATGTTAAATTTTTATTATAAATAATTAAAATTTATAATAAATTATATTTATAAATATATAAAATATTTTTTAAATTTGTATAAATAAATGTTTTTAAACATATAAATTATATTTTAAATTTAAGATAAATAATTTATATTGTAACACGAGATTATTTTTAATTATTAATAAT